TTCTGTGGCTGTTGACCTGGTGTTTTGTTCATGTCTCTAGCTGTGTGACCTTGAACAAATTATTTCACCTCTGCTGCCAGTTTCCATTTCAACTGAAAAACTGAGGTTAATACTTACATTCAGAAATAAATGTTGTCCAAGCAGTACTGTTAGGTAGTGGCTTGCCAGGATGATACCTGACAAGATGCAGAAATTGTTGCTGTGATCACATAGCTGTAGAGATGGTGAGAGATGGGGAGACACGCTGAGCATCCAGCAGGTGTGTCAGGTACTGCTCCTACCTCCTCACAGGGAAACTTGAGGCCTGTTTCCCTCTGGTCAGAGACCTGCTTGTGTTGATCAGGCCGCTCCCATGGGAAGGAAGTCTGTGTGTCTTTGAGACTCTCTCACATACCCTTCTCATCTGAAGCTGTCCGTAGTGTACAGTGCAGGCTGCTGGGCTAAGGGGATGGACAGAGAAAACCAGCTAAATGTGAGAATTGTGGCAGACAATGTTCTGTCGGGTACCCAGCTCTAGTTTCTGTCTTACAGGAATGACTGATCCCTGAGCAGGCCTGCACCATTCTCCCTGTGTGGGTGGAGACGCTGGGTCACAGATGGGTTGGTAGTTTGTCCCCACACTGAACCGCTGAGGGATGAGGTTCAGGGTGTGTTTCTGAGGTCTTCCATGCCTGGTTCTCAGTGTCCCCACAGCCTTTGGAAGGCTGTGCCTGCCTGCAGCTGATCATTTACTCTGTGTCACAGAGCTGGTCATTTACTCTGAGTCCCCGTTATGCTAGCTGTGGATTGGTCCAGCTTTGCTGACTGAGAGGTGTTGCTGAAGACTGTTTATGTGAGTGTGTGCTTAATTTTCAGGAGAATTCTGGGCCTGGAGAGTGGCAGATACAGTGAGCTGTGAGCAGCACAGTGATGTCTGTGAGTGTACCAAGCTGTAATCTTAAAAATAAACAAAGAGCCACTATTGTTGAGTGAGTTAAGAGAAGCGACCAAGCAGTAGCAGCAAATCCTAACCTCAAACGGTAACTGCAGTTGAGATGCAATTTATGGGTACACTGGACGTTTGATAAAGAAGACTCCTCCCGTGGCCTTTAAGCTTGTGACAGCGAGTCATTTGGAGGGCGGTAGAAACGCCCTTGTAGTTGACGGCCTGTCCCTCAGAGCAGCTGTCCCGTCCCCTTGCTGGCCCAGGTGTGGGCACACCAGTAGGGGCAAAAGAGCAGCTCTCACACCCTGCCTTTCATCCTTTCCTGTTGATGTCCAGCTTCCCATTTCTCTTCTCTTTTCACCTCTCAACTCCTTCTGTTGTCTTCTTACTGTCTGTCTGTCTGTCTATGTATCTTATGTATTTATCTGGCAAGACCCCCCTGCCCCATCCACTTTCTCAGTATTTGAGATTCTTCAGCTTCCTCTCTGCTTTCTTGCCCAGCTCTGACTCCTGTGGAGGCCTCTGTCCTACTTGATTAACCCACCTTACAGTAAACTGCAGTCACGTCCCACCCGCTTTGTCTGCTTTGTCATTAGATGTAGCAAAGTATCCTTGTTGGTGGCTCCAAAGGGATCTTTATTATTTCAGTGTGTCTAGGTGCGATTCCTGGACCTGTAGAGCCATGTCTTTCATCGAGTGCTGAGAAATTCTTTTCCCTATATTGACCCTTTGGATGTTTGTTTGTTTGCTCATTTTGTTTGCTTTTTAAAAAATCTTTTTGCTAACAATTTTACTATAAATTGAAAATTGTAAGTTTTTCATCCATATCTTAATATGGAGAAAAAATTTTCTTTTCTGTTTTCCTTATCTAGCTCTTTTTGCTGCATTCGGGCTAATTTTGTTAGATCCATTTTTAAAACACATTTCCTGTTTACTCATTCTTTATTCAGTCGGGTCAAATTTGTGTTTATTTTTCTTTGGGGTCTTGATTTTCAATTTAAAGTTGTCTAGAATAATTGAATGAATAATTTTATTTGTTTTCTTACTTGCTACCTGTAGCAAGTAGGAAAAGCTATGTGGTTCCTACAAAATCTCTTAAAATACTTATTCTTTGGCCATGTTTTCAGTGCCCACTTTTGTATCTTTCATCTTTGTAAACACCCTAATTTTAGGATTCTTAAACTAGAGCTGTTCAATTATTGGAGTGTTTGAAATTCCTGGCTGTTGTGGAGCTGTGTTTCTGACCCTGTTTTGATAATCTTGCTAGGTAGGATCCATCAATGGTATGTGTTGTAGTATTGGGTTGTGTTTTTTTCTTCAGGAGCTTTTAATTGTTTAATCTGAGTTTGAATCCAACATGGGCGGCCTATGGCTACTGGTTCTCAGGAGAGATTTTTTCCCCCTTCCATCCCCACTGGGGGTTTCTGTTTATGGGGAAGGGGACTGTTGGAGATGGAGCCCAGGACCTTGCCCATCTAGTAAGTGCTTGACCACTGAGCTACACCTCCTTCTCAGACAGGGCTCCCAGTTGTCTCCTTCATGTGTGAATTGCTTTTTACGTTTCACTGTTTTACCAAGGCTGGGGACCTTCCTTTCCCAGCATGGCGCCCAGCTCCCCTGCCAAGGCCTGGCTCTGGCCTTCAGGTTCTCCTGTGTATTTGATTCTGGAGAATTCATTTCTTCCTTGAGGATTCAGCTCACCAGTTTGAGTGATGTTTGTTATATTTAACTCTGAATTTCTAATTTTCAGTAAAGAAATATTTTTTCAGGATCTCTAGTTTGCCAAGAGTACATGATCACATTCTCTGACAAAACTCATCCTGGTGGGTGGAAGGAGAACGACAAAGGCTCTGCCTTTTGGAAGTGTCACAGTTTTGTCCATCTTACGCTCAGTGTCTGAGGACTGTTCTCAGAGTCATCACTTAGCATCCGACACTCATCGCTGACCCAGCAAGTTCATACCTTCCAGGGCTTCATTCATTCATTTAGCACACGTGTGTCACGTGTGGCCTCTGCCACGTGCCACACAGATGCTCTGACCCAGCCAAAAGATGAACTGGATCCTGTCTTCGTGGAGGAAAACAAATATTGATCAGGTTATCACATCTATAAACATGAAATTGCAAGTGTGGTCTGTGCCAGGAAGTAAGTGGGTGTGGTGTTAGGAGAAATGTAATGGGAAATTTGTCCAATGGAGGCCAGGAAAGGCTCGTCTGAGGCCCAGATCTGAAAAGCCAAAGCAGTGATTTTCACTGAAAGGAGCAGAGTGATTGTTCTGCCTACGAAGCAGTAAGCTCAGAACCCCCAGGGTCATGAGGATGAAGAGGCAGAGAGGAATTAAAAGAGTGTGGATCCAGAAAAGCCTGGCAGAAGCTAAGACCAAGCCATGGAAGACCTGTAGAGCATGTAAAGGGGTTTCATGTTTATCAGAACAGCACAGAAAGCCCTTAAACAGTGGAGCCACATATCCCCTTGGGCCTTTGGAATGATCTTTCTGATTCCAGTGAGAACAGACCTGGGCAGGCAGGTAGAACGTGGAGGTGAGCTGGGAACCACCATAGTGGACCAGGTGAGGGTTGCTGGTAGCTCACCCCCAATTTGGGCTCTAGACAGAAAGGCATAGACAGATTAGCAATTGATTTAGCAGGTAAGATCATTACGGAGCAGCAGAGAGCTGGGAAAACACTGGAGTCTCAGGCCTGCATGTCTGGATAGATGTGTGATTGCTTTTCTGGCACAGGGAACACGAGAAGAGGGTGGAATTCAGTGGACAGGCTATGGGTTTTCCTTTGGAACGGACTGAGCTTGAGGGCTGCTAGAGGCATGGAAGAGAACGGCAAGAGGGCTCGGGCTTGTGGGTCTGGAATGTGAATGTGTCACGTGCTCACGGGTGACAGTTCACAGGTTGGAGCTCGGTGAGCTTCCTGTGGGCAGGTGACAGGTGTCCCTGGCTATAGGAAGATGGAGATTATTGATGATTTTCCTGATGTCACAGTAATGAGATGATGCAGGAGAGTTCGAACAGGACACAGAAAAGGTAGGAGAGGAGGAAAAGGTTCAATCCAGACAACTCTTTCAGAAAGTATTGACTTTTTACATTTATTTACTTAAACTGATTGAACCTTGGTTGGAGCGGGGCTCTCATGCATGGTAGCATGTGCTATACCCCTGAGCTACACTCTAGCCAAAGAAGAGTTAATTCTTAAAAGGAAATGTGCCATTTGATTATGACTGGGTGGCACAACTTTATGAAACAGTGAGTCAGTGGGCATGAAAATGGTTTCTTGGCAGTAAAGGAATCTGGATCAACCCTGACTCACGATAAAACTGTTCGCACTTAAATGCTTAACCTAGATTAACAAACATGGCCTCACAACAGCTTGTTAACTTATGGGGTCTAGGATCAAGTGAACACCAGAGAAGTGAGGTCATCTGCCAGGTGTGGGGGCAGCACCCTGACTCCGAGCAGTCTGGCTTTTTAAAAGCAATTGCTTTGTTTTAAATGAGAAGTAAAAATTATATAGAATTAATATTTATGAGGGACAGTGTATCCCATTGAGATATATATAGTCATTGTGAAATGATTAAATCAAACTAATTAATAAACCTGGCACCTTACCTACTTACAGTTTCTTGTGGTGAAAACATTTGGATTCTGCCATTTTCGCACTTCCGACACCCACATCCTTACACACCAAGCTGTGCTGCTTCCCACGTGCGTGTGCGGTACAGCACTGGTGTCACCTGCAGGCCTAGACCTCAGCTCATCCTCCTGCAAGTATCCAAAATCCTGGATCAAGGCTTGGGCGGGGCCCAGGTCTAAAATCCTCTTCTTGACTTTGCATTGTGACCAAGAAAAAAAGAACCGGAAGCAGCGTTAGGGTGACTGTAGCTTTCCGAGCATAAACGTCTGTGCTGACCCTGCAGCTGCTCTGACAGCGGCTGGTGGCTGTGAGAACAGCTCCGGTCTTCAGCTTCCCCCAACCCCGGCAAGTTCTATGACCCCAGTTCCCAGATAAGCAAGCTTTTCCTGGGGACCGGCTCTTACCACACCTGTGCTGTTTTTCCTCCTCAGGATTCAACAACACGGAGAGAATGTGTGACAAAGAGTTCATCATTCGCAGGACGGCCACCAATCGGGTCCTGAACGTCCTCCGCCACTGGGTCTCCAAGCATGCGCAGGTAATTCAGGGGCAGTGGCAACGCCGTTCAAGAATTTGCTGTTCACAGTGACCTTTTAAGTCACTGCGTGTACAAAACTTCTCCTGGTTCTTGGCAGCTAACATTGGCAAGCTTGGAATTAAAAGCAGGTGGGGAAGAGACCGGGCAGTGTAGCGCTCAAGGTGGCCCATGTCCTGTGAAGGACACGATGGGCGGAGCAGGTCTGCGTCCTCCAGCCGTGCCGCCTGTCAGCACGAGCTCCCCTCGGGGCCACCGGCTGGCGGGGCCCAGAGCAAGCAGCACTGCACTGCTGGAGGGAGGCGTGAACTCGCGTGTCTGCTCTGCAAGTATTTTCCAGGCCTATTCAGGACGTACCTTGTGCCTTGTGGTGTCCCGGTTCTCAGATCTCTGTTTATAAATTAGGCCACATTGGTGTGAACAAAAACCATGAGTGTTAATTTTTTAAAGCATTTCTTAGCATGAAAGACACAGCACCGTGAATCCTGTCACACACACACACACACACACACACACACACACACACACACACACGGCTTTGACACACTCATCCCGTCTTTCTGTCGGATTTCTGCAACAGCTCTGAAGTGCTCTTCGCTGGGTGTCTTTAGCTGCACAGTCCTGGCTGCCTCGATGTCCTAAACTGATTAAAGCATCCATCTCTCCTGGTCATTATGACTTGGGGGAAGAGTCAGAAGTTGCATGGTGCCAGATCCTGTGAATCAGGAGGGTGAAGCAGAGTGTCACGTTTTAATTTGACAGAAATTGCCATAAGTGGTTAACTGTGTAGGGTGATCACAACATACAGTAAATGTTTAAATTGTTAAAATGTGTTATAGTTAAAATCACACTGCCGTTCATCCCCCTGAAAACCCTCCAGTGCTCCCCCACAGTGAGCACCCCTCTCCCTTCTTTCTTGTTAACATGACTGTACCACGCTAAGATGGGTTAAAAACTTCCAACACTGGCCGTACCTGTGGTTCCTCTCTCATAGTTAAGTTTGCATCTCAGGTGGGCAGAGTTTACAGCCACGGAGACTGCTGGTCAGAGCTGCATTAGCAGTCAGCTGTAAACCACTCACAGGAGCCTTAGGAACCAGGTGCACTGCTGGAAACTGCGCCTGGCCTTGGAGCCTGTAGCCAGGGTGGAGGTAAAGTGAAGCCCTGATCCCATGATGACCTGGGAAGTGGGAGGTAAGGGCTGGCGTGATGGCCTCTGCTTCATGTGCTTGAGGGTCTCAGGGATAAGAGGGCCCCTACATGCTAGTTTGCAGTTTGTTTCTGTTTGTTATTTTGACAGTTATCAGGAGCCTGTTTTGCATTTTTAAATTTCCTGCTATTGTTTAGCAAAGCACAGAATCTGGTGTTGCAGTCCAGGGCCAGGTTCAGATGTCTGCTTTGTTCCACATCTGAAGCGGAGGAGGTTGAGCCAGGACAAGCTGAGCACCCAGGCTGCCACGTGGGTGGGAGAATGAGCTGGGGAGATGCCTGCCCCTCACAGGCACAGGCTGCTCTGTGCCCTCCCTCGGCTGGGGCCCCTGCTAGCTCATCCTGTCCACCCGCCCCGGTACTTCTCCATCCAGCAGCCACCCTGCCACTGGAGGGCAGCTGGATGCTGGGATTTCCTGGGCAGGAATCCTGGCACCTGAGCTGGGAGGGGGTTCTGAGGGTCCCAGGGGCAATCTGGAGCCCACCAAAGGGCATCTGTGAGTTGTGACATGGGACACCTGGAAGATGGTAGGCCCTGAGTGCCCCTTGCCTCACCCTTCCTGGAGGTCGGCACTGTTGTAAGCAGGTGGCAGGCAGCAGGTCACACTCTTGTCATTGTCCCTGTGCCGCAGATGGGGAAGCAAAAGCTCAGGGGGCTCGAAGACTTCCTGTACAGGATGTGGGCAGCCAGGGGCAGCGCCCCTGTTCCTGCCCTGTGCCCCCTGTATGGTCTGCGCTGGGACCCTCACCCATAGCCTCTGTGCACAGATGTAGAAAGCAGACCCTCCCTGGGGTCTACCATGGGTTAACACAGGCGGTGCTCTATACCCATCTGCTCTGTGTTGGTGCCTGAGACAAAATACCCAACACCCAAAATGAAGGGAGGAAAGGTTTATTTAGCTCACAGTTTGTGGAGGTTTCAGTCCCTAATCAGCTCCAAAGCAGGGTGGCATGACACCAGGGCAATATTTTAAGGCAGCAGCCAGAGCGAAAGGAAGGGGCAGAGCAAGCCTCTCCTCCTCCCTTATACTGTACACAGGCCACCCCCAGCCAGGGCGGGTGTAGCACTCACACCACCTCCATGCGCTTCTCTTGCACAGGCTGAGGATATTTAAAATGAAGATCCCAGCTCCCTGCTGAGTCTTAAACTCCTAACCTTCTCAAGGTGACAGAGTGAGTCAACCATAACAGCATGCTGTCACTTCCACCACCTCTTCCTGTTGCCCTCTGTCTGAACTGAGAGATCCCAGGCAGCTGTGTCCCTGTGGGACTCAGGCTCCGAGCTGCAGCTGCTGCAGGGGACCAGGTGCTGGGTCACAGAACCTGCTGTCTCCCTCCCCGGGCCGTTCCTGAGCTCCTGCTCAACAGCCTCAGCCTCCATCCTGCCCTTAATCTTTCTTTGCTGTGAATCCTGAAGATAGATTTTCATTCTCTTCTGCTCCAGACAACCACTTAAACGAGTTAAGCACACCCAGCTTCCTTTAACTCCACCGGGAAGTGCACTTTGCCCTTTCACACCTCTGCCTTCACTGGGCTTTCCATCTGTCAGCAAAGCCCCTGTGTGCAGGCGCAGGGCTCAGGCCCTGTGGCCATGCGGGATGCTGGGCCTGATGGGAGGAGGGGACAGCTAGGGGCTCCCTGGAGGTTTCTCCCTCCCCACCCCACTTCCTCACTGCTTCCTGTCCCCTGAGAGTCGAGCTGCTGACTGTGGGCTGAACCGTAAGCCCTAGTCTCGCTCCCTGCTCCCTGTGCTGAGTCCTGGGTGCTGGGTGTTGGGTCCCTGAGGTGGGGCTGCAGCTGAGACAGCGCTGCTGCCCTTCAGCACCCCCAACCCAGCACCCCGGCTTTCCTTCCTTCCTTCCGCCTCCATGACCTCTGTCCCAGGGCCGGAAGCCATTGTGGAATGGATGTGAGCGCTTGGGAAGCAGCAATCTGTGCCACTGGTTTCTGAGACAGGAGTGGAGTTTCCCCGTGGACTCAGCAGGCTTCTCACCACTCATGGAGTCTGTTCGTGAGGGCACTGGGGACCCACCGCCCTTGTGTGGGCTCTGAGCCCAGCCAAGGCCTGGGGGCAGGCACCAGGGGACCCTTCCTGCACGCCACCCCCTCCTATGGCCCCCACACACCTGGGGCGTCCTTGTGGAGTGGCGGGGCTATTCAGCTGGTCACTCTGACTCACTCTGTGCTTCCTGGTTGGTCCATGTCCTGGCTGCTGTCCTCACGCTCGTCCCCTCCCCACCCCTGAGCACCCCCATCCTGCGGCCCTCCTCTGCACACAGCCTCTCCCGGGATAGCGTCAGGGGTGCCACCATTCCGTCACACAAGGTGGCCTCCATCAGAGCAGGGACAACAGGGTGACAGCAGGCCCTCTTGGACTTCCTTTCTGCGCCCCGGTCTCTGCGGCTGGCTTACCATCTGCTCTGGCCTAGGGCTGTGGGTCACCATTCCGGCTGGACTCGTCCACACGGCCCCACTGGTCCAGGCAGGTCCCTGAGAGCCGCCCATCCAGAAGGTCGTTCCAGTGTTTGCTGACTCGCTGTCACTCCTTGCCACTCATCTCTGCCCAGTTATTTTTGTTCTAAGGAATCTTCCTCCCCTCCACAGCTGGGGAGCTGACTTCTTAAGCCCCGGCTAGGAAGGAGGTAGCTCACCACTGTCTCCTGCGGTCTATGATTTGTATGTCTGGGGTACGGAGTGCCTCCATTGGTGCTACAGAATCAGTCCATGTCCACTCTGCATCTTGGTCCTCTTCACACCCCATCACCACCCCGACCTCCCTCCCAGGTCCCCTTCCTGTCTCCTGAAGTCCTCCTCCCTCTTCCTGTCTTCTCTCCTTTATTTTGCTCTTCATTATTTATATTTGGGTTTCTCAGATCAGAGAAGACATGCAATATTTCAGCTTGTGTGTCTGGTTTATGTCTGTTAGTTTTATGGTCTCACACTGCATCCGCTTTCTTACCTGTGACTCAAGTTTAACCTTCTTTATGGCACAGTAGTACTCCGTGGTACATAAGGGCGAGACATTCTTTATCTATTCAGCTGTGTGTGAGCACGTAGGCCACTTCTGAGGCTTACCTGTAATGAGCTGTGCTGTTATAAACTGGAGCATGCACGGATTCCTATAATATGATATCTTTGGCTCACTGGGAAAAATGCCCAGAAAAGGTATAACTGGGTCAGTGTTTTTTAAGAAATCTCCTTTACTACTTATATCAAAGTCAAATATTTTCCCTTGCACCTTTTCCCACTCATTCAACAAATATTTGCAGGTCAGCCAGGACCAAGGCACTGTGCTTCGCAAGTGCGGAGGTGAGCTGTCTCTGGAGTTTGCTCCTGGGACAGGAGCTCAGAGGTGGCAGTGGCACATTTCCTGCCTGCTTGTTTCTCTTTGTAGTTTTGAGAACACGCTGAGTCATGCATGGCTGGTAAATGTGAAGCAGGATTAGACCACTTCGAGTTTCTCTAGCATTGCTTGCAGGGTTTAATACTGAGATTACACTCTCCCTCGTTTTTTCCAACTAGAATATACTTCCAAGTGTGAAGGGGGTGCTCTGACAGGGATTTTGTGCATCGGCCATGGGAAACACAGGAAGACCCTGCCTTTCCTTGGCCCTCAGGTGTGAAGGGGATGCAGACAGGGTCCCTGGTCCTGCTCTTAGCCAGCACCGTCTCCCCTGGGACGGAGTTTCAGAGCTGAAGCTGTGGACAGTTTCTTCTCCTCCGAAGAGTGCAAAGCCATATGGGAGGAGAGGCCTGGTGTCATCTCTAGACCCTGGAAGTGTCCCTGACCTGTGC